TTAATTGCCAAGTAACAGTGGATATCATCAAGCTTCAAGTAACATTCAGACTGAAATTTGGTATTCACATATTTGCTCTGAAGGAGTGACTTTTTTTCCCTCTTTTCTTTTTCTTTTTAACCTGTGCTGTGTACAGGGTTGTTCCATGTCATTATTGCATTTAGAAAATAATTTGTTTCGTAATGAAGAGGTCTGAAATATGCATGTGGACAGTCTGGGGATGGCACTCACTTTTAGAGTCATGAATCTGGAGAGGAGGTAACAGCTTGCATTAGATTTTTGCCTTTAAAGTGGTAAGTTTGTCATGCTGGGAAAGAAATATTTCTTCAAGGTCCATTTCATTTCTTAATCAATCCTCATGTAAGTATTGAATTACAGCACCAAATCACCAAACATCCTGGGCTTGATGTTAGAAATATATTTTTGCTTTTTTTACACATTTTTCTAAGTTTATATTTTCTGGCAATTTAGCCGTTCAGCGATTTGCTCAGACTTCTGGTAAAATTATTATTCACTGATAGAAATTGAACATGAGATACAAAGATTATATTCCACTTCTGCTCCCAAAACCTTACTGTCTTAACTGGCAGCTGAGGAAACTGCTTGTTGCTGAGGGTGGGGGAGAAATCTTTGGAATATAAGAAACTTAGCATTTAGTGAGCTAGGTAAAATACAAAGAGAAAATCGTGCCAGCACATTAGCTAGCCCAGAAACCCATCAGCTCTGCAGAGAGTGCCATAACAGCCAGCTTATAGAGCATTTCCTGTGGTTACAAGAGCATGTGCTACCCCTTGAGTGCACATTAGGCCATCTCTTCTCAGCTTGTCATTAATTCCTAGACAATGCTTTGCTCTTCAGTTATAATTGCTGAAATGACAGCTGGCATGAAACTATGAAGTTGCACAACAGTTAAAACTGTGGCCAAAGACCACTGTGGATGCTGTTGTTGGGCAGGAAAAGATTTGACTGCTTTTTTGGGGTTTTTTAATATCCAAATCTATCTACCCACAAAATACTTTTTACATTACAAAGGAAAAAATCAGTTATGTAACTGGGATAACTTTCCTTTGCCAAGGAATTGCAGAACATAGTTGAGCTTGGGACAGACATAAATTTGGGACCAAAGACCTATGCAGTGAAATTCTTTTCTACTACTGAACATTTGTTTTCTTTGCAGAGCCCTTCTGATGAGCTGTGAAGTAGTGAATGAATATAAATTAGCATTTCTTTTGTGCAACACTGATTTAAAATGGATTAATTATATATATATTGCTTATGTTTGTGGAATGAATTGGTTATGAATTGTTATCCTGGCCTGAGAACAAGTAAAATCTGAATAATTAATCAATTAAAATGTTTTCTTATGCTGAAAACATTTTGACTCTTGTTGATATCTGGATAATCTAGACGAATTTTTTTCCAAGAAATGCCAGAATTTCTTGCAATTATGTGCCAATTTGTGTGTTAAAAATTCAATACAAGGTCATAAATACCAATTTGGTGTGAATAGTTACCTCTGCCTGCATGAATTTTGCAAAGGAAGTCCACGTTAATTTTAAACGTGATTCTTGAAGTACTTGGTGATGAAAATAGCGATGAAATTTCAATCTACACCTGAGAATGTGGATCGCACTTTGGCATCCAGATCATGAATCCATGTGAAGTCCCAAAAAATAAAGTGAGAGCATGTCCTCAGCAAACTGTCACTCAGATGCCCTAGATTGATAAAATTAAAACCTCAGTAGAAAAGGAGCAGCCTCTTTCAAAAGCTTCTGCTCCACAGCTGGTTTGCATTAATTGCAGTCTCCAAGCGTGGCAGTAAAGTTGTGCTCCACTCCGTGGTGGGTTCAGCAGGGAGAGGCCTCTCTTCAGGAGGGGTCAGACCTCACTTTTTGCAGTGTAAATACAAGGTTCCTCAGAATAACAGCACAGTCTCCCTTTCAAAGATTTTTAAACACTAGGGGCTGACTGTGCTCCATTTACTTTGTTTTAAAACGAGCTGACTTCCAGGAGAGGAGAGTCCGTGGGAGAGGCAAAGGTGTTGACAGTGATGCACTGTAGGCTGCAAGGATCTGTGCTACTGCTACCCAAGGGGAAAGCTCTGCTCTACCTCTTGCCATTGAATGGAAATTAAATATTAACTGGTACAGTCAAAACAGGAATCTTCTCTGAGGCAGAGCTTTTATTTTAGAGGTGTCTTGTGTCTCCTTGAGGGTTTTGTGTGACTTTGTCATCAGGCTTGCAGGGGTGGCAGTGGGGAGATGGGAGCAGCTGTGAAAGTCATGAATCAGAGAGAAGCAGTAAGGTAGGGGCAGTAGTAAAGGAAAATACAGAGCAAAGATTGTGTGTTGAGAATGGGGGAATCTACAGAAAAGAAAGAAGTGACATTTCCCTAACATGCTGCTTGACTGTCTTGGGAGCATTGGTGGAAGTCAGATAGAAATCTCAAAATGTGGATTAATGGGCAAAATCAACACAGAAAAGAGAGATGTTTGGATGTCACAGAGACTTCTCTTTGTGGAATTTGTTTTCATTGCTTCTGTAGGATATAAAAAACTCCAAAAACATAGGATGGTAGCATCTTAGGAAATCATGAACTTGGCCTTGATTATTCAGCTTAGAGTGCAATTGGCAAGGAATATGCTAAAATGTTACGGAAGCTTCACTGAATCATTGATTCAGTATACCTAGTGATTTTGAAAATGTCTAGAAGGCAATAAAGAGCTAGTGTAAAATTACATATAAAAACCTGTATCAAGAAACATCATACCTGCATAGGAAAGTTAGGAAACATCAGATTCATGATGCTGTGCAGTACTGGTACTGCTTTTGTTGTATCTCATCTCCAAGCACTGTGTGAGGCAATGCCGTGGTGGAAAAAACAGAATTCAGCCATTGGATGAGACACAGGGATGATGTTTGTGGGCAAGTTCAGCCTGACCCTGCTTGCATCAGCACAGACTGTGCAGCTCAGGAGTTTCTGAACTGCTCTGCTGGCAGTGGATAACACTCTTGCATGGGCCTTGTTATCTGTAATTTGGATGACCCTTCTGTTTAAATTGGCAGGGTTTAAACACTGACATTTCTGCACTGCAGCACTGTGACCTCTGGAACTGTGAGAATACCTGTACTCTCTGAAGAGGAGCCCATTGAGTTATCACAGAAAAAAAAGAGGAGAATGAAAATTTGACTTAGAAAGTCTGTAACTGGCAGATTTATTGATGCTGACAAGTCATTACCAGGACAAAGATCACTGTACTGTTGTCAAGTTTCTTACATCTTTCTCTGTTGTGGCTTTTCTCCTGGAGCTCCTGCAGTACTGAAGCAGTGCATGGAGGCTGGAAAAGCCTCAATACCAATGCCTGGATCTCGAGTATTCAGTTGAGACTTAAAAGGATCAAAATAATGGGTGAAAAAGTGGAGATGTGCTGACCAGCTCCCTCTTTTCCACTGGTATTTGGAGATTTACTTTGCTCAAGAGGAAGAGAATTGCTAAATAATAGCTATGCTGACAGGGCAAAGTTTATCCCCAATGGCATGACAGCAGATGTGACAAGGCTACTTAGATTTGAGTGCTGACCTGGGACCTGGAGGTTCATGGCCACTAATTAGCATAGGAGGTGGCAAATACAGATTTCCTTTATCATGACTTGTTATCCATCAGTGAAGGATTGTGTCCAGGATGAAACTGCAGCTGGGGGAATCTATTATTTGGTGTCCATGGAGTCACCCAAATAAAGTCAGTTTTGCTGGTTGTTTTTTTTTTCAACAAGGTATTGCATAGAAACAGTCTACATCCTTGCTGTAAAGATGTTCTCTTTTTGGCCCAAAACGTTTCCTTGTGATTTGTTTTTGAAGACAGACCAGTGTGATTTCCTTCTATAGCTGTGGCATTGTTAGATAGAAGTGGTTAAAAATACTTTCTCAGAGTACAGTAAAATCTAACTGCTTTCCCATGGTTCAAATCCTGAGAGTAACTGTAAACCATCCCAGCACTTTCAACAGCACTGTTGATCTGGATTGAGCTATACAGACAACCAAGCTCAAAAGGATGGTAAAAGCCAGGCTCTTAAAGCTGCTTTGGTCATCACTTATTAAAGCTCTTTGAAGCTCTGTGGGTTGAGTACTCCCAGGAGCAGGGGAAGAACTTCCACTCAGAAAAGCTGAACCGTGAAATGTGAAATGTGCTTTATATCACTACTCAGTGTGCCCTCAAACACCTGGTCAGGCTGACAGGACTGCATGGGATTGTGGTGGGAGACAAATGGATTTATTTAGAATGGGTTTTGTATCTGGGAGTGTCATCTGCAGGAGGTGTTCATATGCTTTTGGGAGCAATGTCCTTTACCAGACACTGCTGATGTTGAGTGGTGTAACGTTGTAGAATAATACTTTTCATCCAGGTTAATGCAGTGTGCTTTTCCCTGCACTGAGCCCTTCCAGACAGAAATACAAGACTTTTTGGGGAAGGGTTCATTACATCTAATGGCAAACAGTTGAGCAATCTGCTGCAAAGTACATATGGGTTGAGTTTTTCTTCTCCTTTAACAGGTCGGATAGTCTTGAAATGCCTCCACAGCTGACAACCATGCCAGGTTTTATGAGTCTTCTTGCCCAGTAAATGCAGGCAGATGTTGTAGGATTTAGAACCTTACAAGGCACAAGAGTATAGCTGGTGGGAGGTAATTTTGATGAGTGCTTGACCTCTCACTAAAAGTGTAGCAGCTTGGAGAAGGCAGTATTTACTGCAGGAAACATTAGCTTGTCAGAGAGCTAAAGCACTGCAAAGAACCTCTCTGAATGACCATGGAAGTCTTCAGGCAGATGTTGTTCATAGCACAGAGTAAAGCACACTGTGCAGGGAGGATGACTGGGGCCTTGCACCACTTTCCTGCAGTGCTTCCTGCAGGAAAACAGCCTGGTGATGTCAGAGTGCACAGGCCATTGTATGCAGGCTTGTAAAATACCATGCAATTCAGCTGACCCCTGCAGGCATTGATTTTATTACTCCTAAATGGTCCTAAATCCTTTGAGAGAACTCTCTGTGGAACCATTGTGCGTTTCATCTATGAGTTAGAGGAAATGCTTAGGTCTGAGCTTCCTCATTCTGTTTGTTGGGAGCTAAATCATGACCCAAACACACTCAGAAATGCCCATGGTAGCCACCCTCAGTGTTGCATCTTTTCAGTGTTCCTGGGCTCACAGTTGCTGCTGGCTGCCCAGGGGGCTGTGATAAACACTGAAACTGTCCAGCTGTGTTGAACCTGGCCATCTCCTCCTCTGACTGTTGGGTGTTTCACTGAATGTTGGAAGTGCAAACCATCTGTTCTTCTAAATAGAGGAGCTTATTCTCTTTTGAGCAATACAGGAGGCTTGGAGAACACCTCCCTGTTATCAGGGCCCCTCTGACCTGTGAAAGACAAGGACACAAACCTGATTTTCAAAGCTTGCTCTTGTTTTGATCTGAGCTACACCACAGGCCCATCCCGTCTTCATAATCACCGCTCCCTAACACACCAGGATTCCTGTATCATACTGTGCATTCATAAGCTGAAGAAAAAGTTATTAATATTCTTTTTTTTAGCAATGCCAGACCTTAGTTCTGAATACACTGAAAATAACCGTGAATATTCCTTTCTTTTATTTACTTGCTCTTACCTGGCAAGGAGGGGAAGAAATGCAGCCTATACTGCAGTGACTGAAAGACAGATGTAGAGGGTGAGAAGCTGGTATGAAAGTTTTTGCAGGCCAGATCACGCACCATTGAAATTATCATTGACCATGGCATAGGCTTTTTGGGAATGCTCGAAGTAAAACGTGAATGAAGGGAAAATAGCAAATGAAATCCATCTGTTTGAGAGCAGGAGTAGAACATTAATCAGCTCACAAAGAGTTTTTCTGTACATGTTGCCCTTGGACACTCACATAGAGAAGGGCCACATCTACTTATCAAGGGGAAATCATGGCACTGGCTCTGCCTGGCATGTGGACGCCTTTCATGCGGTGTCTTTCCATGAGAGTGTGTTTGTGATAGAAATACTTCACAGGAACACTTACTGTACCACACATCTGAAGAGCTGTTCCACTTCAGAGTTCAGATTGTTTTATTATGAGCTAAATGTTCTTTAAGCTACCTGTGAATGAGGGCATTGTGACATTTAGCAACTGGCTTGATTGAACACAGATGTGAGCCATATTCCATATGGAGAAGATCCAAAGGGGGAGATCCTAGTCTTGTTTCTGATTTGCAGGGAGTTTGGATGCAATTACTTGGCATTGAGCTACCCAGATAGATGGAAACAAATCTCTTGCTCCCACCTCTGCAATATTGCAGATCTAAAACCAGCCTCAGTTTAAGTGTGTGTGTTGTCTTCTGAGGTCCATGGAAAAAAGCCAATATATGTGAAAGCAAAAGTCCTGTAGAAATAGGCAGAAATGAGAGGGGGCCAGGCATTCATATACTTTGCTTACCAAGGGGCTTCCTAGAAGTGCCCCTTTCCACACAGCACCACTTTCAAACTTCATTCCAGTCTTTCTCTGAATATTACAAGAAGTGCTATTACCTGGGAAAGTGTTTGAGGAGAAAAATGGTTACATGGGAAATAGAGCTAATTTGCAATATCTGTTGATGATTTTCCAGTTTCTTGAGTGTAAAATTTACTGATGCAAGACTAAAATTGCACCTGGCAGAATTCATTTTGTTGTGGAAGTGTTTACCAACAAAAATTTTCTACCAAGGACTTACTGAGGAAAAGCAGACATTTGAGGCTGGTTCTGGTATGTGTTCTGAACTGCTGAACTCTGCAAGGCTGCTCACAGAAATTGTGACCTGCAGGCCTCATTCTCTGTGAAGACAGAGGGTTTATCTCTGTCTCCATTGCCTGTGGCACTTGTTTGTTTTCCTGCCATTTGAACTGAGGGTGCATCATTGAAAACTTGGTCTCTCCAGACTGCCCTGTGAAGTGGAACAGGGTCTGACCTATAATAGTCCTCAAGACAAATATTGCTGAATATTTAAGGGCTTTCTTTTTCATGCAGATAATTGATTTTTTTTTCTCCCTTCTTTTCATCCGTGTTAGCTGGGAAGAAATTCCAAGTGTTTACTGACTCTGGTTGTGCCCAGTGTCCTTATCTGTAATTATTCTGCTGTAACATTGAGCTGCCAAGACATCCTGACCTTAGCAGCTCTCAAGGTATACTGCAGGGAGGGCATTCAGATCTCTGAATGCACTGCTGGAGGGCAAGGAAAAGGTTGTGTTTGATCTTAGTTAGACAAAGAGTGCTGAGATGGTTGTCCTCCTTGGCCAGGATACAATGATAGGAGCCAGAAGAAGAGAAAAATCAGAGCTGACATGTTGAACTTCAGTTTATAGGGAATAGCAGTCTTCAGCATTTCCACAAATGTTTAAGTATGTGGGAAAAAAATCTGTCCTTCCTTTAGAAAATCCCCTGGGCAGTGGGAGCCAGCCTGCACTGGCCTCTAGGAACACCTGGACTTGGGTAGCTCAGCCAAAGTGGCAAAAATACATTGTACAAAAGCCAGTGTAAAATCCACCCCACTGGGTCCAGTCACAGGGCGCTGTGGGAAGCTGTGGAGTCATTCCCCATCCTTTCATCCCCACACTCCTGCCCTCTTCTCCCTGCTCACTTACCTCTGTGTGCACGGACACACACCCCTCACAGCTGGTACAAAGCCCTGAGTAAATTCTGATTAAATTCTTTAACCCAGCTGTGCGAGTCCCTCCTTTTCCTCACTCTCTCTGACTGTTTGGAAACCAGGAAGCTGCAGTATCATGTGCAGGTAGCACAGCAATAAACATGTTCTCATCACAATTTACACATAAAGCGTGAGTCCCTCGAGGTAACTCATCCCCCTCTTGACAGCTTTAATAAAGGATGATGGATTGTTTCTAAATGACAGTTTAGGAAAATCAAAAATTCCCCCCTGTATTGTTTCGAGCTCTGGTGTACAAGAGCTGTTTTGTCTTCTGTGGAAGTTGTTTTTGCCTGTAAGCACTGGGGCTCTATTACTCTCCTTCAGAGTGGTGAGAATGCTGCTGCCACAGGAATATATTCCTACTGCTGCATACCTGTGACTTTTGGGAAACCTGCAGAAGCCTGTCACGGGTGGGAAGTGGGGAAATGCCAGGAGCTGGATGTGCTGCTCTCTTTGGGATGCTGCTCTGGGCAGTCTCCCCATGTGGGTTGTTGGAAGCAGGAGGGATTGGACACTGATCCACCCAGAGCTGCCTCCAGGGCAGGAATGCCAGGAGAAGGCATCACCAAGCCCACCTGCACTGGCTCAGCTCCCAGCCAGACCCAGGGGAGACCCAGGCCTCCAGGTACCTGGCAGTCACCTGCACTCTGTTTTCTTCCTCTCTGCTATTTTCTTTTTAAAGACCATATGTGGCAACAAATTAGTTCAGTAGGGCAGAGTCCTCTCTCTTGTTTCTTTTTGGCTTGAGATTTATTTCTCAGTGCATGTGCTTTGTAGCTGCACTTGGCAGAGTGGAGTTTGTTCAGCTGTCCATTCCCCAGTTAATCTGGTGTCCTAAAATAAAAACAAGCAAGTGGAACTTCGGAGGATGGCTGCCACATGAAGACGTGCAGGGTGTCATGTGGTTAAAACAGCGCTGCACAGAGTCATTCACACGGTGAGAAGCCAGATGAGAAAAAAAGGTCAAAGGTCTGATTAGGGCTCGGTCTGAAGGTACATTGAGGTGACAGAATGAAGCCAAGATGGGCCCAGTGCAGCCAGGCAGCACCAAAACCATACCTCTTTGGCACACCATGTGAAGTGAAAAATGCTGAAATCAAAACCAGCATAGAGTGAGGTTAGAGGCTAGAACTTGAGAGGGGAGGAGAGCTTCTGGCTCTGCTACCTCTGGCCTGATGGGAGGCAAAGACAGACCATTTCTGTAGATCTTACCTGAACATTTACTTCTCCAAACAGAATCTTTGTGGTGGTGCTTCCTCCAGCTGAGGGAGCCTGGCTGAACATCACCTGCTTTGCTTGGGACAGAACCATGTCCATCCTTTCTCCATCCTTTCTCTTTCTAATATCCCAGGATGAAGAAATGTCTTTGCTCCTTGCTGTCCCAGAAATCTCAGCAATATTGTCCTCACATTGGGAGTAGCAACACCAGGGAACAGATTTTTCTTCTGAAAACTCCTGGGTACCTGATCAATTAGGACAGATGCCAGGATACCCATGCATGAAACAGCACACATGGGAGGATGTGTATGTAATCTCAGGGGTTTTCATACAGGAGAAGTTAAAAAATACTATTCCATTAATTACTGTAAAAAGAAGTAACTGAATTTTAAGTCTGGGCTGAATCCTTGTGTTCCAGCTGTGTTTCCCAGCTCAATAATCAACGTTTTGACACATGTAATGAATGCCCAGTAGGAGCCCAAAGATTTTACAGCCTCAGATTTGTGCCATACTTTTTTGTAGTGAGCTGGTCCTTCAGTTCCTGTTGTAAATTACTTGAATTAACATACCCTGTTACTTTGATTGCTGGTCTGTCTTATTCTTTCCCTTATTCTTTCCCTCAGGCACAACAGGGATTTACCAGGGAGCCAACGGCCTGACAAATTCTGCAGGATTCAGTGCTGTGCATCAGGTATGGGTCAGCACCTATTGCTGGCAACCTTGTCATTTATTTTCAACCACTTGGATGATTTATAGATCAGAGAGATTATTTTAGTGTTCGTATGTATTTAAGGAAGGTATTGTTTTGTGTTTTGCTGAACACCATTCTGCTCTACTCTTTGGGCCTGTCCTTTTGCTGGACTTCAGGATATCCTGGTTAATTTTAGGATGTGTCTCAGTGCACACACACAGAGTGCAGTCCTTGCAGGAGGAGGGTGCCCTGGCAGTCTCTGACTTGCTGCTGTTGCAGTGCCAAGAGTTTCCTCATTCTTCTGCCATCTTACAACTTCCAGCTATGTTGTACATCCTCTCCAGAGGGAATGGAGTCCTGTCATCTCTGTGCTGGCACTGTGCAGTAAGTGTGAACACTCTGAGAGAGGCCTTGGCAGGTCCTGCTGGATGCTGAGCCATCTGAGCTGTCTATGCACTTTTGAGAACACACCTGTCCGTGGGCTCCATGCCTCAGATACCTTGGTAAATGTGTGTGTATAAATAAAACACAAGACAGATGTTTTTCAGTAGCAAATGGCTCTTCTTGTTTGGAGAAAACAAATGAGTACACTGTCCCAGCAAATGTGTTGTGGTTGGCCAGTAATTTCAGTTCCTTGTTTGTAGGGTGATGGTTGACTTGTATTTTTAATGACAACAGTGGGCAGTTTCTTTGTTGCTTCATTTTGGGCTTAAAACATCAGCATTACTGATAGAAGTGCATTTGATTTAAGTATTGAGGTTGCCTAAACAAGGGGAAAAGTCGGGCTTTTTTCATTATTTTGTAATCTTCTGTAGGAGAAAACAATGAAATTATCTCATTTCTCTTTCAGTCTAATTGTTCTTATGACAATCTGAGTCTTTGTTCTTGAGAGCTCCCTGGTGACTGAAAGTTAATGAAATAGCTGTCACAGACAAAGATGTAAGCTGTTAAGGAGGAAAGTGCTTTTAGTCTTTCTAAAGACTGTTTATTATTTAATTTTATTTAATACCAGAGGCTAATTATAATTTCTGAGGAAATAAAAGCCTTCTGCTCAAAGACAATGCCCAGAGCATGGGCACAGTTCTCTGTCTGGAAAAGCAAATTCAGTGGACAAGGACAGTGATTGCAATTAAAACAAAAAGAAACAAATTAAACCTTTTATGCTTTGATTGCTCAGAGATGGATTTTATCATGTTTTCTAGTATCCTGCTTTTCACAATATACCCACCAAACAGCCAGGATGATGGTATGGGGTTTCTTTGGGTGCCTTAAAATCACAGCAAAGAGTTTTGTGATACCTCAGCTCCCCAAGGTCACTTGCACCTCATATTTTTAGTTCATTTTTCTGTAGGCATGCAAGATCACTCAGGCATTTATTTATTGCTGAGATGGTTGGGCAGACTGTTGTGAGTATTGCTGAAAAAAAAATGCTACTTTCTTTTCATTTTTTTAGTCTAAC